GATTTAATGTTTACTAAGTAAAGGAATCCCACCTAACTTAGATAAACAAAAATAAAGCCTAAGCTTTAGAGAGAAAACTCTTTCTTTCTTTTTTTTTCCAAAAATCTGTATATAGTTTTACAATGACAAGTGATGAGCTTTTATAGGCTCATTTACAAGACCCTTAGGGTCAAAGAAATTAATTACAAGAAAAAATTATGCACATTTTAAATAAGGAGAGGAGAAAAATCAGCTAAACTGAATTTATGGTCTTCTTCCACCGATTTAGCTATCAGATTTAATGGAGATGAATTCTTTGTATCTAGACAACTTCTTGATATATCCATGATCTGATATTCTTCTAGAAACTTCTTGAGATTCTGGGCTTGATTTGAATTGGATCATTTGTTGATAGACCAAAGATGTGATTGGTGTTATCATGGTTGCATCAAGATCGATCTAGTACCTGGAGCACCCTTGCCTAATCGAGCCGCGTACAGAGTTAACCCAACAGAGGCAAAGGAACTAGAGGCTCAAGTCCAGGATTTGATGTCTAAAGGATACATAAGAGATATCCTTAGCCCGTGTGCAGTACCAGTCTTGTTGGTGCCAAAGAAGGACGGCTCCTGGAGGATGTGCGTGGACTGGACTGTAGAGCCATTAACAACATTACCATCAAATACAGGCATCCAATTCCGAGGCTAGACGACATGTTGGACGAGTTAAGTGGAGCTACTATCTTCTCAAAGGTGGATTTAAAGAGTGGATATCATCAGGTGCGAATGAAGGAAGGAGATGAGTGGAAAACTCCATTCAAGACCAAGCAAGGTCTATATGAATGGCTTGTGATGCCTTTTGGTCTCACAAACGCCCCAAGTACCTTCATGAGGCTCATAAACCACGTCTTTAGAGCATACATCTGTAAGTTTGTAGTGCTTTACTTTGATGATATTCTAATTTACAGCCAATGCTTAGAAGATCATATTAAGCATCTAGAGCAGGCTCTAGAGACGCTTAGATTAGAGGGTTTATAAGCAAATCTTAAGAAATGTATCTTCTGCACTGATCAATTGGTGTTTTTAGGATTTGTTGTAAGTTCTCAGGGTCTTAAAGTAGATGAGGAAAAGATTAAAGCCATCCAAGAATGGCCCACACCATCCACGGTTGGACATGTTAGAAGCTTTCATGGTTTGGCGAGTTTTTACAGGCGATTCGTCAAGGATTTCAGTACCATAGCAGCCCCATTGACATCTGTGATCAAGAATAACACTACTTTCACTTGGGGGTCGACTCAAGAAGCTGCATTCAATAAGCTGAAGGAGAGCCTCACACAGGCACCGGTTTTAGTCCTTCTTAACTTTGATAAAATGTTTGAGGTTGAATGTGATGCATCAGGTACCGGCATAGGAGCTGTCTTAATGCAAGGAGGGAGGCCAGTAGCTTACTTCAGTGAGAAGTTAAGTGGGACAACACTCAATTACCCAACTTATGATAAAGAGCTCTATGCTTTGGTGAGATCACTAGAAACGTGGCAACACTATCTGCTCCCAAAGGAGTTTATCATTCACACAGACCACGAGACCCTCAAACACTTAAGAGGCCAGACAACACTTAAGAAAAGACATGCGCGATGGTTAGAGTTTGTAGAGACCTTCCCTTATGTGATCAAGTACAAGAAGGGGCAGGAGAACGTTGTAGCCGATGCACTTTCAAGGCGTTAGAATCTCATCTCTACAATGGAAGCCAAGAATCATGGGGTTTGAACACATCAAGGGTGGATATGAATCTGATCCCGACTTCTCAAAGGTTTACAAAGAAACTACAAGGGTTGCGTTTGGAGTATTCTACCAACAATATGGTTTTCTATTTAAGGAAAAGCTGTTATGCATTCCACAAGGGTCCATGAGGGAATTGATCACTAGAGAGGCTCATAGAGGCGGGCTAATGGGACACTTTGGCCGAGATAAGACATTGAGCGTACTGATGGAGCACTTTTACTGGCCACATATGCGAAGAGACGTGGAGAAGCTATGCACCAAGTGTATCATTTGCCTCCGAGCTAAGTCCAGGTTACACCCTAACGGTTTACATATACCTTTAGCTATTCCTAATGCACCCTGGGTGGACATTTCTATGGACTTTGTTCTAGGCCTGCCTAAGATACACAACAAGGACTCCATTGTTTTAGTAGTAGACAGGTTCTCGAAGATGGCGCACTTTATACCATGTAACAAGACCAATGATGCAACTCAAACAGCTGATCTCTTCTTTAAAGAGCTTGTGCGTCTACATGGGGTGCCCAGAACCATTGTTTCAGACCGAGACACAAAGTTCCTCAGCCATTTTTGGAAGACATTGTGGAAACAGCTTGGAACCAAACTCTTTTTCTCCACCACTTGTCATTCCCAAACGGTATGGGCAAACAGAGGTAGTAAACCGTACACTCTCAACCTTATTGAGAGCCACGGTTGGTAAGAATCTCAGGAATTGGTTATCTTGTCTTACTTTCATTGAATTTGCTTATAATCGTTCCAAGCACTCTGCTACTAACCAATCTCCTTTTGAAGTTGTCTATGGGTTCAACCCTCACACGCCTTTAGACCTTACTACTTTGCCACCAGCTATCTATTCAAGCGCAGAAGGAGAAGCTAAGGCTGATTTTGTGAAGAAACTGCACCAAAAGGTTAAAGAGAGGCTGGAGAAAAAGAACGAAAAGGACAAAGCAAGAATTGATAAATGGCGCAAGGAGGTTACCTTTGAACCAGGAGAGTGGGTGTGGTTGCACTTGAGGCAAGAAAGGTTCCCACAACAAAGAAAATCCAAGCTTGCACCAAGGGGAGATGGGCCATTCCGAGTCTTGGAGAAAATCAATGACAATGCATACAAACTAGAGCTGCCAGGTGAGTTTCATATCACTCCTACTTTCAATGTTACTGACTTGTGTCCTTATGATGCAGGTGAATCTGTTCTGAGGTCAGAACCTTCTCAAGAGGGAGGGGATGATGAGGGCATAGAACCACAAGCTCCACCTATACCAGCCGTGAGACCAGGACCAAGAACAAGATCCGGAAGTAGAGTCTTGAGAGAGGATTTTAATCAAGCTATTGAAGCCTTACTTAGCATCCACGAGCAAGAAGACTCTTTGTACCCAAGCTTTAAGGCCGCGGTCCAAGAAAGAAGCCTGGAGGAGCCTAATAAAGAAGAAGCTTATCTGATACAAGACGGCCCAACAACTGAATTGCCACTTCTCCGACCCAACAAAGAAGTGTCCTTATTCAGCATCAGCCTCACGCCAACTTAAGATCATCTCAGCCGTCCAATCCACCAAGGTAAGAGAATGAATACGTTTATTTACTTGCCTAATATGGTTTCTGTCTTTGTTTTGTTTTACATGTTCCATTCATAGTTTAAAGCCTTAAAGTATTTCTTAATTTCTTTTTAGTTATTGCACGAGTCTGTACTTGTTTCTTAGAGTCCCAGAAGTTGTGTCCTTTTTATGTAATTTGCTTCAAGTCCCCAAGAAGGGCAAAGCTTCATCGGACTCTCTTATAAAGTCCCTTATAAGCAGCCGTGTATTTTTACCCTACTATCAATAAAATAACGCAGTTCTTCAAGCTTTTGTCTTGTCTTTGAATTCTCTGAATTCGCTTAAGAGTTGGTGTTTGATCCTTCTCTTCAGAGCTGGTGTTTGATCCATCGTTCGCTGGTCGTATCAAAGTTCAATCCATAGAGCTTTGTGGCGACCCTCGTTCCACCGTGTGCACCATCATCGTTTCATCCCTTGACTCAATCAGAGAGAGTTACACAACCAACTGATCGAGTTCCATCCCCTTTTCACATCAAATCCAGTCCTTATTCTTGTTGAGAGAGTTACATAACCAGCAACAAGGATCCATCCCCATCTATAGGCCCATGCCTATATCATCTGGCATCTCCAAGAGAGACTTTATACATATTTAAAGATTGAGAAAATTCAAATTTGAACTTTTAGGTGTTTCTCACCAAAAGTGACACTTCAAAATAAACTTCAAAAATATTATATTTTGCATTATAATCCTTAAGTTTCAGCATAATTAGTTAAAATCATTTTTTCATAAACAATTATAAAACATACTTTATAAAAAATCACAAGCACAATTAATTATTAAAACATCATTAACATTATAAAGAACACAAACAAAATCAGAAGTTGTAAAAAAATAATTTTTGTGTTTAAATTTGCCTTATGTTGTATTAAATCTGCTTAATAATATTATCTTATATTTATATATTTTTAATTTACTTTGTGTAATGGTATGTGAAATTTTAACTTTAAGTTGTTTTAATTTCTTTAATCTTGTATGTGAAAATTATAATTATAAAAGTATATTGTAAAATAATTATAAGACATAAAATTATTGATATAAAATGATAAACAGACATAACTAATAACATCTTTTAAAAAGATAGATAATTATAAGGACTGAAATGTAAAAGAAAAGATGAAACTTCAAATTTGAAGATCTGAATGGTAAAATTTAAAATATAGAGTGTCAAGTTCAAATCTTCAATATTTGAAGATATAAAGTCTCTCTTGGAGTATATAAAACTTCAAATTTGAAGATATGAAGTCTCTCTTGGAGATGCTCTTATAACATTCCCCCAGATATGTGCATGCAAAGGAAATTTTTGTTTCTAAGTATCTTAGTCATTGGTCCAAATCACCCGAAGCGAGCAGTTGATGTGTTTTTGCAGCCACTCATACATGAGTTGAATCAGTTGTGCCATAACAGAGTTCGAACATATGACAGTACGAGGGGCAACAATTTTACGATGCGAGCGGTGCTTATATGGACAATAAACGAGTTCCCTGCATATGGAATGCTATCAGGTTGGACTATGCACAAGAAATTATCTTGTCCTTATGTCTCGATAGAACCGATGCATTTCAGCTTAAACATGGTCGAAAAACATGTCGGTTTCATTGTCACCGCCGATTTCTACCACCTAACCATCAATATCGAAGAAACAAGCGATTGTTTATGAAGAACAAAGCTGTTCGTCTCCCTCCACCAGTGTATCTAACATGGCAAGATTTTGAAGCACAAATAGATCATTGGGGGGCACTTGAAACGGTATGTCGAGGGGGAAACTGGCACACTCCAGCGAATATGCCTAAAAGATATGGGATTCATCATAATTGGCATAAGAAAAGCATTTTTTGGAAACTTCCGTACTGGAAAGATCATCTGCTAAGACACAATCTTGATGTCATGCACATTGAGAAAATGTTTTTTTATAACATCATGCATACAGTGTTGAACGTGCAGGGAAGAACCAAAGACAGCGCGAAATCACGGATTGACTTGCCTGATATATGCAACAGAATTGACTTGCATATTTTGAGCAATGGGAAAGGCCAAAAATCTGCTTTGTTCAATTGGATTTTATTTGCTGTGAAATTTTCTGATGGGTATGTATCTAATCTTGCTAAATCTGTGGAGAAAGGCCAAAAATTTTCAGGGATGAAGAGTTATGACTGTCATGTGTTTATGCAACGATTACTTCCTTTAGCATTTCCTGAGGCACTTGAAGGCATTGGAGCATAGATGTTAACGCCTCATGTCGGTACAATAAGTTAATTGATTTTGTAGATTTTCCGCCTATGCAACAAGATCATTGTGTTGACATCACTGAACCAGAAGTTGAAGAAAATGTTCTTTTAATTGATCCATGGAATAGACAAGTTGAAGATCTACCCGATGATAACATCGAAGAAGATTCAGATGAATTTGATGAGAGTGATGATGATCATGATGATGATTTAGAAAATGATGAACGCAACCAAAACATATCATCTGATGATTCCGATTGAAAATTTTATGTATGATTGCATTGTGGTTTCAATAAAATATGTTTTTGTTTAAGATGTGTTTACAAAAGTTTCTAGATTTTTTTGTTATTAAGAAGTTTGACTTTTATAGGTGAAAGGTTTTACCTTTACGACGAACTTACGATATAGGGTAAATCGTCGTAAAATCGTCGTAAATTTCAAACCCTTGACATATTACTTTTGTAGTTTAGGGTATCATTTTGGAATCAATTAAACAGTTTTTTTTTCACTTTATAAAATTGTTTGGTCAAGAATGCAGCTCTTAACATTTTTATTTTAATTACAACACTAGGTATCTGTCCGCGTCGCGCGGGCACAATCATTATATAAACCTTATTATAATTTGATTATTGAAATTCTTGTAACATATACATCACATCTAACCGTATAATATTTTTATATTTGATTTTATGAATAATAGTTAAATTGTATAATAGTTTTTGTTAAACTTTCAGTATATATCATTTTTTAAGATGAACAACACTTATTTACAATAATAAAATGAAATTATACCATTAATATTAATTAAATATAGAAAAATTGTACTTTATATAATAAACGAAACAAAATTTAATAAATATTCCTTCAGAAAAAAATTTTCTATGTCTAAGCCTCTAGAAAAGCTAGTATCACAATTATTATCACAATAAAATAAATATTTATAATCATCACAATTATATGTCATTTTATCACCTAGTAATGATTCTGATGAGGTTCTTTCTATTATTGATTTTCATAATTATTATATTATAATTATAACAAAACATGACATATATATCCAACTAAATTAGTGGTGGTAAACATGACCGTTATTTTTCAAAACATTGCAAACACTACTATTGGTTGTCGTAACGGTGGTTTTCAATTTAAAGTAGTACCCGTTTATTACTCGTAATCAGATTCTATTCATTGTTAAGAATAACTGCATCTATTTTTGATAAAATGTCTCCTTGCACGATGATTTCTGATTTAGGTATAGCATCTGATCGATCTTCTATTTGTGTTTAAGTTATCAAGAGTGTCGAGGAAAGCCTAGGTGTTCACGGTATTCAGCGATCGTTTATATTCGCAGACGAACATGTAAGTATAAATTCAAAAATAGCATACTGTCTGAATCTTAATATATTATCAATACCATCATTATTTTGTAACTGAAAATCTAGGGTGGTTGAATACGTGCATCGATTCCAAATCGTTTAGTAGACCATTATGAAGACATGATGTGTGATAAAGATTGGTACTTCATTGGTAACTTCAAAATTAATCCACACACGGGAACTTCGAGGATTACAGTCAATGGTCTCCATATCTGTATCGATGAGGATACTCATGTTGAGAAGACATCGCCTAAATCAGATGACCAGTTGTATTCATTTGCTAATTTTAGAAGTGTCCTTGACAAATCTCTGATGGAAAACATAGACGTTGGTATGTTTTCTTAGTATTTTATTATACTCAATTAGATTAATTAATACTATACTTAATTATATGAATATATTGCTTTATGCTAGTTGATTTGATCGGAGGTATTATCAAAGTCTGTCAATTGGAACGTCAAGACCAATTTTGGATCGGAAATCAGAGAATCAACTCAAGTGGTCTAAAATTTACAATTAGAGATTTCGAGTAAAAATCCATTGATACAAAAACTAATACATATATAAATTTTTACTATCATATTCTCGATGTTAAGGAAAATGATATATTAATTCTGGTTTTTAGGGGTGTCGACATCAATTGCATAGCGTGGGGAAGAGATGCTGAACATTTTGAGTTCTTATAGAAAAATACTCCTCGTCGCAAAATCGTTTTCTGTGTATTGAGATTTTGGGAGATGTGTTGATATGGAGGTTATTTCTCATTCTATCGACCAACCATATATCAATTTATATTTCTATCAATTGTAGATAATATAATTTTCTATTGTACAGATGAAATAAGTGTTTGTTATGGTCGAGAATTCTTTGAAATATTGTTCGATCCTCCAATTCCTGAAGTCGAAAATTCTCATTTTATGTAAGCATTCTTCACCGTTATCATCTTGTAAATTTCCTAAACAAAATTGTTGAATATTCGACTCATTATTTATCTTGTTCTTGCAGGCTTGACTACACAGATGATTTTAACAACATTGAAGATGGCTACTTTTTTGATCACTCACCTATTTTTCCTAGCCATTGAATCTACCAATTTCATTTGATGTTTTCATTTATTTTGTTTGACAATTCTATTTGATTTTTTTCTCATTATTTTGAATTTTAAAACCCTTTAATTAGATGAAAGAATTATTATATGTAATAAAATTAGAAAATATTAAGATAAACACATTAACAATATGATTGATATTGAAAACATTATTAATTACTAATAAATTTAGTAGATTAGGGCAATAACCGAGATATTCATAAATTATAGGACTAACCTTTTGATCAACCAAGACCATCACAATTTATTTGTTAAAGGAATAGTCGAATTTTGGTTACAACACGGAATTTTTTGGCCCATAAGATGTATAAAAATTTTGGGCTCAGATGATATATAATTCAAGTGTAACATAATAAATCGTTTACATCAAACAGATTTAGAATCAAATCAGTTATTATATATGTTATTGACATACTTTTTAATAATCCAACACGTGATATTTTTTTACAGAACATTATTAAGAATAATGACATATGCCTGATTATCCATACCTTTTTTTATTTACACTCCAATCGGTTAAGACACAATCGTTTATCGCTTACATGCGGTTTAGGCATTAATATTATCTATATAATCAAAAATGTTAAGTTTATTGTATATTGGAGATATACATCTACAAAATATTATAGATATACATATATCAAAAACTATAGATATCCATCAATTCAAATCTATCAGAAGTTGTCAGATATTTTCTCAAAAACGCAATGAATACTTAGCCCTTTGAGTAGATTATAGTTTACAAATCAACTTTTCAAATCACCATACATCACCAAAAAGGACAAAACAATACAAAACCATTGATATACAAATTTATTCTTAACACTAAAGACAATGTAACAATATCATTCATAACATTCATCATATAAATAAGACATAATCATTCATAACATTCATAATATAAATAAGACATAATGCAGTATGCATAGAGTCAAACCGAAATAGTAGATTAAACAACAACCGATATCACTTAATAAGTATCATAATATAATATTTTTACAAACATTAAAAAGAAAGATAAGGAATTGACATTCCATCGATGGTGCATTAGTTAAGGCGGTATCGCCTACCAAAAAAAATCGTTATGTTAGATCAATAAACCCTAAAAATTAACTAACAAAATATGTCAATAAAGAAAAAATAAATTTAATATTTACTTAGCCCTGAAATCGTCAATCTCGTCATCAACAGGATTACACAGGAAATCAGAGCAAGGAGGGTAAGAGCATAGGACAACCGAATTCTTATCAACACCTACCATTAATTTTACGAATCAGAATTAGAAGAATGCAAGATTGGCTATTCTAAAATACTAAAAAAAAAGAAATAAAAACCTACCTTGACCATTAGTCATCTTCCAAAACCTCAACACAAACACCACTGACTCACTTTGATTACGCTGATAAACACTATGCAGATTCTTAGCCAAATTCCCACGGGCGATACATGGCAATACACAATCTCTCCTAATTGATTAAAATAGAACAAAAAGGTTCTTCCAATTTAGATGTCATAAAACAAAACGATACATTTTTTTTTTGCATAAACAAACAACATATAAATATAAACTCATAGATCTTACCCTGCATCAAAAAGTTCGAATCGAACATATGTTGCATTATCCTCATAAGCATCGCTGTTGATCTCACAGAGATCACCCATCTTCAACACGGTTCCCATTACATCTATATCGGATACAAAAAAGTGATATTAACAAAACGATATATTATACTAAAATTGTCACAAAACTAACAGATGGTTACCAATATTACCAATTAAAAATTCAAAATCTAATCCGCGAGTCACGATGTCAAAGAAGCGTGTGCAATTGAGATGCAAGTGTAAATTATGGGTTACTGGAGAGATAGGAATCACGACCGTATGAGATCCGAAAATAAACCGATGCCTGTTTACGGTTATGCATATCGAACCACTGGCCTTCTTAACAACGGATCGACGAACCCTAAACCAGTAACCTTGTTTAAGTACAGGTCCATGCAGAGCGATTTCATCGGGCATGACAGTTGCGCCGATACGATGACCCTAAGATCGATTTCACATAAGTTCAAGTGTAAAAATCCAAAAGAAAAATTGCTTTTAAAATCAACCCTATGAAATATATAAAGAAATAACTACATAATGAAATACCCGATCGTCAGCGAGAATCATCTCAATTATATCACCAAAGAAATTTACATTCTTCCAGAGTCGAACAACTTGCACACGAACTTCACCGCCGGTGGTGTAATAATCTAACCTAGAGATATCAACAACATGAGACATTTTGTTTTTCTCTGCCAAGAACACAAAAGGAAAAGTAAAAAAAAAAGAAGGAAAGAGAACACATATATATACGCGTTACATTCTAGACAGTTATTTCCTTTTTCAACCCAATAAACTTATGGAAACATACAACATTGAATATGTATTATTAAAATAAAGATTAATTTATTTATAGGTTTTATTTTAAATGACAACAATTGTCTGTCAAAGGCGTCTTTTCATCCGTTAATATATTTTTTTGAGACATTAGCAGCATGCAATATGAGAGAATAAAATCTAATTACATCTGGTGTACTAAGCATACACGCAAGCGAGATACGCGAGCATAAAGAGTCAAAAATAATCAAAAAATATAATAGTTTCTTCAGTATACAATCATTACATCAAGCTAGTGAACGCAATTTTCCTGGACAATGTTTTTATAAAGCCAAAGAAACAGTTGGGGAGAAGAGTTACTTTGTTGTTTATTTTTAACAATGTATATGAGAAAATGGGGATATATATAACACCCAAATGAGAATAAATTATTATTTATTAATAATCGCAAAACAGTCTTGTAAGTACATAAAAAAAGTGTCTAACAAAACTAATAATATATATGGATTATTGATTTTGAATCATTCCAGTCGGCCCAAACCACTAGACATCATCTGTATCCAGCCCATATAATCTCTCTCTAATCCTGAAATTTCAATAACAAAATCATGTAGATCTAAATATATGAATTTTTTTTTTCATAAGTCAATTTAAACAACACATTGAAACATACTTACCTATTGCGCAAGGTTAAAACTTCATCAATAGGTGAATCAGTGATATAACGGGATACACCATCATCATCATGATCCTTGATAGACACATTTTCTAAAACATATATATTGGAATATTGTTATGTTATATACAATGATTTTATAAATAACATATTGATGTATCATCAGAGAATATACCCCCGTCAATTGCTACACACCAATCGGTTAACACACATATAGCAAAGGGACCTTCGTATTCTCTACACTTATCTCTTATTTCAGTTGCCAACTCACCATGTGCAACACACTCTAGCATAAACTCCCTATATTTTGACAAAGAATGTAGTTAATAATTAATTAGTTAAACTTCTAAAACCTACAATTTGAGATACACTTACTCATCATCTATTATATTAAATCGAATTGATGATGTAGTCGTTCCATCCGGGTATGTAATAGTAAAATATCTAGCATCTTCAACGGCTCCAATCAAATCTGCGATTGTAATTAGTCAAAATAAAGACATTAGTGCGAACTATAAATTTTGCATTATAATAAGATACCAAAATATTCTTACCAATTAGATAATAATGAGCATCTGGGAATTCATAAATCGAGAGGAATGATGCAAAATTATAGAACGAATTATTTGTTAATGGTAAAGTTGGTGAGATCGTTGTTCCCTGTGTCAGTGTAATAACGTAATCGTGTTTTGTAATACTTTGGATATTAGTCCAGTTGTATGGATTCAAAAGAAATCCAGTCAACATAAACCATCGATCTTCTTCGCATATTTGATTAAAATGCTCCGTCATCTGATTGTTTATCCGAGCCTGAATTCTACAACCCTAGAAGTTTATACGATAACATTAGATCAACAAAAGAACAATTTAGTGTATGTTAAAACAATAAGCATAACCAATAATAAATATCACAAATATCATTTTAAGTTAATGAAATTTACTCTTTCATCGTCCAGAATGAAATTTAGACTTCGATTATCGTCCGAGTAATCCACCACCCATTTTTTGAGTATTTTCACTATAATTCGCCAGTCAGATCTTTGAGAATCCAATTGACGAACAAAATCATAATCCACCATTGCGTGATGCCTATCGTTTAGAGTTATTCAATTTAATCATATCAACGTATATTTATAAAATGTGATTTTATATTAATCTATAACCAAAAATTAAGAATATTAACATTTCAGGATAAATATAGATAAGGAAACAATATTATCTTCGAATAAAATAAATAGATATATATATATATATATATATATATATATATATATATCTATATATGGAGATTTTCTATTTTAAATTATTGAGATTTTACTATTCTAAATTATGTTAATATTCCAATTCTCATTGTTACCAATTCGTAAGATAGTTTACTATAAAACCATCTATATATTTTAAATGACAATTTTATTGCAATGAAAATTTACATTAGCTAAATCATAAAATCTACATATATATATATATATATATATATATTTTAAAGACGGTGACTTGTTATCGTGTTCAAGAACGCGTAAATTCAACCAAGTAATGATTTCTTTAGTGAATAAACAAAAACAACTGTTTCTATATCCTTATTTTTTCTTTCATAGATGATACAAAATTGTATTATTTATAGAACATAGTGTTTAGTAGAACATGATAAAATCAATAACCAAAAACCATTAAAAAAAACGATAACAAAGATAATAATACAAATATAATCTAATTGGTAAGAATATTTTGGTATCTTCTTATAATGCAAAATTTATATCAGACAAAACCATCTCGATAGTATTTCCGAAGAATGTTGAATGCTTCCAGAGCCTGACAACCTTGTCAGATATTAACCACCCTGTTTTGTAAGTATCCAAACATACAACATCGACAACATCAGACATTTTAGAAACTTTTTTTTTATTCTTTTTGATGGAGAAATCTGAATAATATAACTTTTATAAAGATGAAAACTAAAAGTGATGTAGTATGAGAAAGTGTGTTAAATATGAAAAGGAGAGACTATGCAGTTGAATAGGCAGTTATTCTTTCTTATAAATTTATTTTCGTTTGAATTATTTTAAAAGAAAAAATTTGAACAGTTACCATTTAAAGCTCCTTACTGTCAAAACCAACAATAATCCACTAATTTATGTCAAAACACTTCCATATTGATAATGACCGATTTGTTCGTTTCACGTGTCAGAGAGAATATATTCCATGTTTTAAGTTTCACCAAATATACACGCAATCTCAATAAGTAAATATACTATTTTACTAAATATAAACTTTTGCTAAATTGCAACACTTTCCATAAAATAATATGATCTCTCTATAGCTTATGTTATTTGGACAATTTTATGTTTCAATATTTTAGGAAATGATATATTCATACAACATAATAACAAAAATGTCATTTATGTAGACTTATATGTTATAACTTTATGTATCTACTTGAGCAATTTTCCTTAAAATTTTATGAAACAGGAAACCTAGAAAGTCAAACGGTTAGTTGCAAACATAAAGTCGAATAATCTTTCCCATAAAAAATTGAAAAATGTGAAAATTGATTATTATTGCACACTTTATAAATACTGGCTTGAGGGTTTCTTTTCAAAAAAACTTTAAAATATTTTTTAAGTAGCATTATTGTTTCTGAGAGAATTCATAAGAACATAGTGAACACAAACGGAAAAAAATTCAATGAAAATGGCTTGTTGATCATCAATCCCCCACCATTGGTAATGAGATTCGGTGTCGTGGAACCAAAGTCACCACCTTCACCAACAGATTCCGAAATAGAGCAAGAAGAATTATGGGAACAATTACATTTATTCACCGCTTCAAATCAGAAAGCCAAACAGAACACTCCTCAGGTAATACATCCTATTCACTAAAGTTTGTTTTAATCATGTCTTACACAATGAATTGTAAAATCTGTATATTCTACTTATGTAGGATGACAAAGGCAACACATCTAATGAGAAATCCCAATCAAGTTGCACAAAACGAAAACACGACCTGATTCTAGATCTGGAGATAGGGTTGAAGTGCATGCGTTGCAGTTTTGTGGACACAGAAATTCGACACATGGATACCGCCGAATGGGTACGTGATCAGAAATATATTTAGATCTAAATTATGAAAAGTTGTCTAAAATCTATGTTATTGAGTCATTATAGTTTGTTATTGATTGCCCATTGAACTCTATGTTCTAGAAACAATTCATGTTTAAATATGATATTGAGTTAGTTCAAAGCTATATAATTTTACAAAAATCTAAATCGGATTGTTTGTGTCTGTTTTTAAAGGGAAAGGAGAAGGAACGTAAAAAGAGGAGGTCTGGAGTTTAATCAAGAACAATATCAGTTTCAAACCAATTTCATGTTTTTTTTTTCCTGTTTGCAATGATCACTTTAAAGACAATATGTACTTGGTTTTATTTTCTAAAAACTATTAAGTTTATTTTGATGACATGATAATTTGGTTTTGAAGCAATCTCGATATTTACAACTATGTGACAATGTTCATCATATGAAATGTCAATAGATGCCCAATAATATGCTACAGTTAAAGTTTGGTTAAAATATGTTATCGAATAGAGTTTGTCATTGGAATATCCGACTACAATTAAAAATCAGAGATCAAACCATTAATACATCAGATCCAACTTAGTGAAAAATTGAAAAGCATTAAATCTATTAAAAACTATAAAACCGAACGTAATGGTCTCATACAAAAAACCGAACGTAATGATCTTATACAATAAAAATAAGTAACATATTTCGAGACAACATATCACAAAACAAAACACAGTGAAAAGAAATATCATATCTTGTCAAAAAACTCCTTGTAGACGACATTCAATGTTTTGTTTTGTGGTTTGTTGTCTTTATCGGTGATCAATATCTTCAAACCTTCTCTTGATGTAACCCTCGATACAGCGACATAGAGTTGCCCATGAGTAAAAACCGGTCTTGGAAGATACAAACCAACCTTTTCGAGTGTCTGTCCTTGGCTTTTGTTTATAGTCATTGCAAAAGCTAATGTGATAGGAAACTGCTTGCGTCTCATCCTGAAAGGAAGTTTCATCTCCGAAGGAGAGAGGAATATCCTAGGAATCAGTACCTTTTCACCAACCTTGCTACCTGTTATTATATGAGCCTGGAGAACATAATTAGCCATCTTAATAATGATGAGTCTTGTGCCATTACACAACTCATTCTTAGGGTCGATATTTCTTAGAAGCATTACAGGAGTACCCTCTCTCAACTTCAGGACATGATTAGGGAAACCAGACATCTTGATACTATTTAAAAACTCCTCGGTATAAATCATATTGTTGGAATCACCTTTATTCTTACTGGCTACACTCTCTGAGGGTACTTCAGATGCATCATTGTAATTGACAACTTCTTCAGTCGTATCAATGCTATCACAACTAAGATAGGTCCTTTCAACACCTGTTATATACAAAACAACCGTTGTATTATATAAATATAAACAAATAAACTAAGAGGAATTAAAACAAAATAAACATACCCAATAACTTTGAAAGCATATAATCATTTATCGTATCTACATCATCGTTTCTTGGACTCAGTATGCCACGGTCTTGGAAAAATTTAGGATCAGTCTCTTTCGAAAATGAACTCCCATAAATTTCTTTGACGATCGTTTTTATAGGATCTTTACAGTCTTTAATCAACAGATCATCAGGAATATCAATCACGGCTTCACCACTTCCATCGTCATTTATCGTACCATCACCAATGTCTAAGATCCACTTTGTAAAGGCAGAATCGCACGGCTATTATCTCCAGCTATAAGTCGCATGTTCTGTGTAAGTCTCAACGCTCTACATTTGTACCACAGAGGTGACGAATTCAAAGTGGCCATAAGTATCTCTGTCTTCCCGGCATTTGGAATCACTGGCAATATTTGCCTAAAATCCCCTCCTAAAACAATGACCTTATCACCAAAGGGCTTATCAACTTCTAAAATATCACGCATCGTTCTATCTAGGGTCTCGAAACAGTCTTTACTCATCATCAACGCCTCGTCCCATAAAATGAGTTTAGCAATCTTTATCAGATCGGCAAGATTTGAGTCCTTCTTGATTGAACAGAAGGTAAACTTATTAACCACAATAGGGATTGCAATCTTGAATGCGCAGTTCGGCCTCCTTCTAATAACAACGCAGCAATCCCGCTCGATGCAACCTTAAGAACAACATCACCTTGGGAACGTAGAGCAGATCCTAATAGACTCCACAAATAAGTTTTACCAGTACCTCCAGAACCATAAACAAAGAACATACCTCCTTTGTTCTTATTTACTGCTTCTAGTATCTCATCATAAACACTTCTCTGTTCACTGGTTACAGTGGCTAACATCTTCTCGTTTCTTACTCTAAGAGTTTCGCGATTGTAATTCCTCTCATCCCGAATAAGAGGATTATCACGTGACTCCAGAGTAATATCTTCAGGAAATGGCATAGGTGTGAATTCTTTTAAGGATCTTCCACTTACACGTAAAAGAAGTTCTATTTCGACCAGAGTAAAGTCTTTAACTTGCTCCTGAGATAGACGAACAGCTACACAATTTCAAAAAAATTACAAAAGATAAATTAGCTATCGATATCTTAAAGATATATAATAACAACAACGCAAACAATAACTATACGACATACTTTGATCCCTGGCAGCTTTTCTGTAATTATATATGATGTCATCTGATAATACATGCCATGTAGCATCCCAAACTCTAGAAGGAATGGATATACTTTGAGTAGTGAGCAGGATCACAAAAAGAAGACGGAGATAATTGGCAGAAAGCCACAAGCCCCCCTCATTGATGGCCTAAATATATTCTTTGTCATCATTCAATAATCCATACGCATAGCAAGCGTCTTTGAACGAAGAATGTAGAACTTTGTTGACCGTTTTTATATCATCAAAACTACGTGGTCCTTTGACTAAATTAAGCAGAAGCTTTAAATAATACGCTTCACCTGCCCCAATGGGTACGTACGTGATTCTACCAAGAGCAACTCTCCTTGATCGTGGCGTCCATATTCTCTTTGGGTTATTCCACACAAATCTCGTAGGAAATTGCGCATAAGTTAACGTTCTCGCCAGTTCATACTTATCGTTGCACTCCATCCAAGCAATGAATTTTGACGTACCAACTGAGACACGATTAATAACCTCGTCACCTGGATCATCCTCGTTGTATATGACCATTTGCTGATTCGGTAAATGAAAGGGTAGTTTAACTACAGAAACCGTGCGATGGTGAGTATGATTACGGAAAATTGTCCACGTAGACTCCGAATGTGCTACATACCTACATAGAAAGACATTATTAAATAATGGAAGATTGAAATTTTAAAGATATAAAATATGTGAACAAAATGTTTAAAACTACAATTGAAGTGTTTCTTAATCTCGTTTTATTTATCATCATTCTTGATAGTTGCACGAATATAGTCAGCACCTTTATGAATATATTTGAATAGATACTTTACTGATCGAGATTGTACACACCATTCGACGTTGATATGAGCCCTATAAAGCAGTGTGAGACTCCTATTATAAGGAACCACAAATCCATTATCACATTCAATACCCTTTTTAACGATAACTTTCTTGTCATTACGTCGCCTGTATATAGGATATCCAACATCATCTATTTTAGTGATCGGACTGTAAGGTTTTGGAAAATACTTTGTACATTTTCCTTCAGCCATGCAAACACTATCCTTATTCAAAGCACCACATGGTCCATGCATCATGACATCTCCTACTATCTCATACAGCGCTGGATCAATATCCTTGTCAGGAATCTCAGCACATATTATCTTATCAATGTCATCACCAGTTGGTAGCTTGTGACCAGCTTCTAAAAAAAGAACGATGTGTGCATGAGGTAGCCCCCGTTTTTGAAACTCAATCGTGTAGATCGCTGCAACGAATAAATGGTAGTTTTTTAAAGATTAGTTAGCATGATCATCTAGCAATGTTATGGACATTATCTTGCTAAACGAAATAAGATACTTAGTTTAATAAAACATACCGGCTTTTATGACACCTAACACATTTTCTTTGGTGAGTCTGTGCATGAGATCATCTAGTTTCATCTTGAACACTCGCGTACATATATCTGGTCTATCCTCTTGCTTCAAGTTATGTCTTTTTAGGTGCCTGGTAATCTCAGGCCATTTGGGATTACACGTAAAGGTTATGAAAAGATCCGGAAAACCAAAATGCTGGCAAGTAGTCATCGCATCTAGATAATGTTGCACCATATACCTTGTACTACCAGTATAAGAAGAAGGTATAATAATACGTTTACCCTTGTCAGAAAGATCAGTGTCACCTTCATCAACAGTTTTCTTTATTTTGTCATAATTTTCGCAACGAAGTTTAGACTGATTCATTGATATGAAACGTAGTCTATTAGTCTCAATCATCGTGTACGCATCCACTAAAAACTGCTGGAACAATCTTCCAGATAAAGGGATGATTGGTGACTCACCAACCCTCTCTTGTATGCGGTAAGCAAAAAACTCTCTCATAGTAATATGCAACCTTTTCCTCCCTTGGGTATCTACAAAACCAATATCGATACCAAGTCTGAACCCGTCCTCACCATAGGGAAACAATAATGGATATTGCAAAGGCAGATACGCAGGATGTAGTTCACTGATCCTTTTGAGATTCCCAATCTTTTTACACTCGATGATGATATCACGTGCATCTACCTGACCATTGAAATCATCAGGTATCAATGCAGCAACTTCATTAGTAGCTGGTAGATTCTCAGTCCTTCCATCACTTTTCCTGTCACACTTTAAAATTATCCTTAACCGGCTTGTATCAACGTTAGGATCAAACCTTTCTCGAACGTTTCGTAATGCATCCACATGTTTATTATGTTTATCTAGCATATTTTTATTTTCTCAACAACCTTCACTCGCAATTTATCAGCCGGTCCCGTTTTCCTGTAAAAATTTTAAAATAAATTCTTATAACAGTTAGAACCACATAACATTTAATAACAATACATATATGTTTTAAAATTGATCTCAATGATTAAATTTAATATAAACCAAAAGAATAATAATCATACCCACAAGCAGCTATTCGGTTAGATGTTTCATTTGCGGTATCATATATATATAGCTGTAAAAAGGCTGGTTCTTTTCCAGGAGGTGGTAGCAACTCCCCTATAGAATGGTAGTTCTCCCCACTCATTTGGAAAATGTAAGGACCTTTCCCGTCGTTGATTTCTTTATTTATTTTTCCTCCAAGAGAAGTGAAAGAAAACATCATATTATACGCCCGGATAAACTCACGAAAGTGATCACGCAAATCACCATCATTATACATCAATGCTAATAAGGATTTTGGAGGGGTTTTAAGAAGTGGAAGAACGACTTTACCCTGACCACAACACATGGAGAATATAGGCTTCCCACGACGATATCGTTTACGCAACCTCTCTCCATACCACATATAAGCCTTACAATTACCACATATATATATAGGATCACCATCATCGTAATAACCTAATTAAAATAATATTCATTGCTTAGTATTAATTAAACGGTAATTATATATTATGTATTGAATGAAATATATTAGTACAATGAAAACCATAACCTCCATCTTTCAGACCAGGACTAACTGATTCCAATAAATCTGTTCTAGTAACAACGGTCTCTGTTGCATCCTCATTACAAAAATCAGAGGTTTTAGCACGTTTTTTGGGTCTTCCTCTCTTTTTATTACCAGGCCTCGGTTTTCCCACATCCTCACTTTCCGACATAGAGTCTTCATCATTATCCATATCGGACTCAGAATCAGTAGCAATAAAGCAAGCAAAGTCTTCGGTGTTGATAGAAGTTGCCAAAAGATCTGTTTGTTTTTTTAACGGAAAAAATAATAACTGTAAATCAGGCATATAATTATTAATAAACATTGTAATTACGAAAAAGAAGATCAAACCAATAGCTTCTTTTCTTTCTCTCCTCTCATGCATGATATGCATTCGTCTCTGCTGTGCATAACGAATTCCCGGGGGTGTTAGATCAGGAACTTCATTGATATTGAAACGGAACAAACCTCCAAGTTGGTCTATATCGGTTACACTGGTAGGAGCATATCGTGCGTTCTTAGCATTACCACCTACAAATTCCAGTTAATAGTAAGCAAATTTATAACACGTAAATGTTTTAAAAATATGATTTACTTAAAATAACACCTTTATTTGGAGCAATCGACGAAGATGAACCTTTTTTCTGAGGACGCCCAAGCTTACGTTTCATTTTTTCCGGTGAACAGCACGAACAAAAAAAAATGTGTGATCTAAATACACAATCATTAACAAACTATATATATGAAATATTATATTGCGCGATAATGCAAAATATACATTTTAGCTTCTCATAATAAATTAAGATTTTGGTAATAAAAAGAATTTCGAAATAGAAAACCGCACGATAATGTTAACATTACTTATTCTTCGCGATAATATGCCAATCTTCTCTAATGCACCATAATACTCCAATATCAAAAATTTACATTTTTTCATGATAATGTTAAAATACTATTGAAATACTTCTACATTACAATAACGCGGATCTATAAATAATTATTTATTATTTCAAATGTGCAGAGTTAATCCTAAAAATATACCTCTACATTACAACAAATATATTATCCTAATGTTTTTACGAAAACCGAAAAGACTATCGTTATATTTCTTAGAAATTGAATATTATCCCAAAAATATGGTTATTTAACATATCATCCAATAAATTATATCACATATTTTTTTTTCGTGGACAATTATACTACAATTCGTTACGCAGGCGTTTTGGGGATAACTATGAACTTCGAGATCCAAACACGAAAATAATAATTAAACAATCTTATTTTCATACACTGCGTCAAAAGTCAAATTTTATTCAAATCACATACGATGTTTAACACAAACCACAAAACCTAAAAATAAAAATTGATATAAAATAATTCTTAAAACATTAGCACGGAACTCGTAACATCAGGGTCTAACGACTGGATATCAATTCTCGAAACTGATAGACCTCGAAGCATGGCAAATTTAGAATAACTTGTGTGCAATCATACGACGTAGTTGCCAAGAAACACCCTGTATTATCGAACAAACAAAAATCAAACCATATTTATCGCATATACTTTACAACCATCTCATATCAAAAATAAAAAATATACCTCGTCCAACAATTATCTTCGCAAAACGAATGATGCAAATAATGACATCTTGTTTACATCCACCCAACTCAAAAAGAAAAGTTTCAGCATAATCACCTTTCAAAAAACATGATAAACGTCGGTTCCTAAAGTTTCCCACCAAACAAATATCAGTCTGAGTTAAACTTAAAAATTCATTTTCTTTAAATTCTATTAACATAAAATAGGTTACCTTTCGTTTTTGAGATCGAATCTTATTATAGGCTGTCTAGAGTATCCTAAGGATCCAATTCTATCGTGAGAGTTTTCAACGTTGACAACCTTACCGATTAAATCTGTTTTAAAAAAAATGAATATCAAATAATCAATATAGTAATTGCATGACAAATCGGTAATGAAAAATACACAGAATACTCACCCACACAGTGGTTAAAGTCAATAGTCCCATTCATAATATCTTCGAAAATAACGAACGAAAAATAACCATTGATATCTAAAGTATAAGAGCTTGCACATGTTGTATCACTGGTAAGTTGGATCATATAAGGATGTGTACTTGGCTTAAATTCACCAGTAAGAGGCAATAGATTAAAATTTATTAGAAGAACCCAATCACCCTCGTTACATATCCTCGAATACTTGTGCAGTTACATAAATCTTATGTCCCTGAGAAGTATGGAATAAAACATTCAGACATTTATCATTACAAAAACTAAAATATAATCATGAAATTGATGTGTTATACCTTCCAATCCCCCATTATGAAGTCTAACGTGCGGTCACATTCAGGAAATCTTTTAAATTTACGTAAGACTTTCAACTTAGTCTTCCATATATGCTTGGTAGGATCAAGTTCGGAAATTCCAAACAGATTTTGATCATAATTTTTATATACGGCGGCGATAGATAGTAAATAAGCCATTTAGGTTAAACGCAAACCCAGAGCCTCAAAACAATTACGAGTACGTCCAAAGGTAACTTAAATAAACATAGCAGAGACAATACTTAAACCAAACTTTTGTTTCTTATTTATATAATTTAAAATAAAAGGACATATCGAATATTTTACATTTTTGAGATACCTTAATGCTTATTTTACATTTTTAGGATAACATACGACCTTGATAGAAATTTTATCATGATCACAGGGATACCGTTTCCGATTTGTATTAGAGATCTATTATAATATATTATTATAATTATAACAATTTTCCAATTGGTATTAGGAATATATCGGAGGTGAGCCATTTGCATCGTTATATATAAAAACGATGTATTAGCATTACCGAGTTATATATGACGACTACTTTTTAGGTTTTATAGGCACTACATCATGTCGATCGCTGCTTGTCTTTTAGCAATGAAAAACATGACTTACACCAATGTCTCCGATATAACTCCATCAAATCAACTACGCCGTATTCGTGTGAAAATACTGCGTATGTTCGAGCACATCGGTGAACCTGATAACACTTTAGATTTGGTGTTGGTTGATAAAAAGGTATTCCGGTGACTTTATATTTTTCGTGCATATCACGTTTCTGATATACATATTTTTTTTTTAGGGTGATAAAATACATGGATCAATATCAAAAGGGTTTATAGACAGTTTTACATCAGAAGTGAAGCAAGGAGATTCAATTATTCTGTACCGTTTTGGTGTAGTCCCTGTCATCGGAGACTTGAGGCCGACGTTGCACAATTATAAAATAATATGGAATTCTCAAACTTATTTTTCAAAGATCCCTTTCTATGATAACAACAACTACCTAAGTATCGTTGAATTTGGTAACATACACAACATTCTCCGAGACCCATTGTTTTTTGTTGGTATGACTTTAGATAAATTAATAAATAATAACAAAAAATATATGCTATTTTATATCTATAAACTTTCTCAATGACTAACTAATCTTTTTATTAGATATAATTGGACACGTCGCAGTGATTGGGACATTTAGTCACAAATCCTCCAAGAGCCAAAGAAAGTGGGGTAATGTTTACATGGAACTCCGTAACGAATCGTAAGTTATTAAAATATGTTTCTCAATTACAATCACTGTAATTATCAATTTTTACTACATTATATGATTATTATATGCCCAACAGAGATGCTAGATTGCAAGTGTTATTACGGAACGACTATGCACTGGACCTGATGACTGCTTTATCACGGAAAGAACACAAAATTAACATTTGTGTTATACGTTTCGTGCAACTGTTCAAATTTGCACATGGTTGGGCAGCGATAACTGCATACGATTGTACTGAAATTTTACTAAACCCTAACCTACCCGAAGTCGAGAGAATGTGGACAACAATCACGGAATCAGACGATGGTGTTATATTAAGTTTTTGAATAGTTTCTTTTTTCGTATGTTTGGTTTTCTTTTTTATTTATGTTTTCATCATTTGACTCAATAAACGATGGTACTATATCAAAATTCTCCTCATATTATTCTTTTCGTATACATTACTTTCTTCAATTTCTAAAATATATTTTTATTATATATATACATATTTATTTTCCTAGTAAAATATTAAAATACTTTTAAATCAACAACGGTATCAATGGACTATGAACACAATTTTGCATTGAAAACAAAAAGTGACACTCTTTGTAAATCAAAAACAATACGCTAAAATGAGAGGCTTTGCGAAACAGGTGAAGTTTATGGATATTGAATAATTTATTTATTACAATAAAAATAAAAAATAGCTATGTTGTTCAAGTACACAACCTATAAAAAACGGAATAAAAATTTAATATCTCCTACGGATACTGATCTTCATATCCATCATCCAAAGGGGTAAAATCAACTGAAGTTTCAAGCCTGGAACAATATGACAATATTATAAAATCATAAAATAGATGTCAATAGAATACATATACAGGATATAACATCGAAGATGGAATTTACATACCTCATCTTTGCTATTGCCACTTCTGGAGTAGGAGGATCTTCGAGAATATCAGATATGAATCTTTCCGATTCAACTATCCACTCATCTAATTACATATACATATTCAGTATGCATGTGGAAACAATAAATTTGTTAAACTTCTGATTAATTGCCGTATTGAATAGATATTAATAGTTAATTTACGTACCTCTCCACCTATTGAAAGAGAAAAATCGCAATACAATAATATGCCTTGAAGACCTATCACGATTCGTCCAAAGTTCTTCAAATTTTATTGCCAAGTTATCCCAAGCAATACATTTCAAGGAATTTCCACTGTATATATTTACACCAACATAGAGGATAATTAACATATTTTAATGTATCAAGAAACCCAAGTCTGACACCAGATACTCTGAGGATAAGTTGTACTTACCCGAGATCTTCGAGTACAAAACGAATAAGTGGACGTTCTGTGGGTGTATCCGATGTATCAGACATATGAACTCCTCTTTGAAGTTTCTGAACAAAAGTGACAACCCCGAGAAGATCAACTGCAAAATCAAACAACTAAGTTAGAAAAAAATTCATTTCTCAGTTAATGAGATAAACCAAGATAATAACATGCATGTAAGATACTTACCAAGATATCATTCTGTTTGAATCGACGCAAGCAAAATATCTATGAATAGACAGAAAGAGTATATTTCTCTGGAAGACTTCGGATCGGTTTTCGCAGTGATTGTATCCTCGTTGATACGTATATGACAGTCGATTGATGATATACTTGGATGTGGTAATCTATCGGTAACTGCAAAATTACCAAGAAAATACCACTCTCCTTCGAGCAACACATCCTCGAATTTGTCAAGTATTTCAAATGGCATGGTACACAGGATGCGATTGGCCTACACAGTTTTAGTAAAAAAGAATCAATAAATGATTACATTTCCAAAACATGAACAGGGATAATCTTTTAAAATCTCATAAACTTACAAATTCATCAGCGAGGACTAACATCCGATTAGGGCAACCAATGAGAGTAAAATCATAATAATTTCTAACTACTTGGACACAAATACGTTGCCTGCTGTTTGTCTTCTGAAGTTCAGACACTCTATTACATGGAGACATTCGTTGTTTTTATTTAGTTTGGAGATGAAAAATGATAAAAATGAACGTTTCTTTT